GTTGGATCTTCAACCTTCAACTTGTTGCGACTTTTCACCTTTAACCTGACCTTAAACCTTGGCGACTAGTGACTATTGGCGCCAACAAACTGCTCCCTCTTCGCCCCTGGCCAAGAGCACCGCCATCTTTCCAACCGTTGGCCCCTTTGATTCCGTCCGACACCAAACGGATGGACGAAAAGCGAGGCATCGACTCGTCAGGCGGCAGCCAGCCGAAGGTGGCGATGGTGATCCACCGGGAGGAGGACGATGAGTTTGTGCCCGCCACGGAGGACGCGAGAAGCAAAATTCGGTGCTATCAGGTAGCCGTTTTGTATTCGGTGCCCTGTCTCCGTGTTGGGGGAGAGAATGAACATGTTTGGACCTATATGGTATTTGGTGCCAATTGAATATTCGGGCACCGACAGCTCTAGCGAAGCAAACTTGGTTCAGCATCCCGAGAAAGAGGATCATGTCAACCCTGGAAAAAAAGCACCCCTGGTTGATTAGGAGGGTGTCCCCAAAATTTCAGGGCTAGCTTCCATTTCCATTCTGTCCAGGCATCCGAATCTTTCTAAGAAACCCAAAAGCCTGGGGAAGCGGAAACCCAGTCAAGACCATTCTCTTCTCCACAGCTTCCCGTTTCCAGCTTGTTGATTTTCTCTGCCAGTCCCCCACGTACTATAGGAATCCTGTGGGGTATGAAATGCAAAGCGCAACATCAGGGTCCCTATGATGCTTCTGGCGCCGGTTGTTCATCAGCTTCATCACTGGATTTAGAGGATTGCTCCTTGTAAAGCAGGTGATTTGGGGATGTATCCGACCTCAACCCTTTTCACCCGGACCAAGTCCCGAATCAACCGGAAATCCACGCCCAAAAGAAGGTGGCCTTGATGGTGGTGAACTTCGGGTGGTGTTCTTTGAGCCTTTGAAGTGACTGCACTTTAAACCAACGAAGGGACTCCTGAATTCTACAGGAAATGTCTCCCCCCACCCGCGCTTTGATGGTTTGGTGAACTTCCTGAATTGCAGTTAAAGGGTACTCTCAAAAAGGTCGGAGACACGAGTTCTGTTTGGCGCTGTTTGCATCGAAGGGACGCAGCCCATTTTCCTGAACTGGTCTGACCGGTTGTGAGTTCATGAACATTAGTTCTGAATTGCTGGCAAGCCAGCCGCTCAATGGTTCTAAATTGGGACGCGGCTTCATGTTTTTAGACCCATCTCGGAGAGTAATCCTTCAATTCAAAGGAGATTGACCAGTCTTCTGTCGGCCTTCAGTTTCCAATTGGTTCGTCTTGCAAGCGCGTCCTGGGGTCAGCTCATAGCAACCCACCCACCTCCCTTCACCAGGGATCCAACGGATTTCTTGGTAAGGTTTGCTGGTCGGAACGGCCCCTAAAGAACATGAGGCTTTAACTTTGGTGCATGTTGCCAAGGGATGTTAGTTTTTTTTTTTTTTTTTTTTTTTTTTTTTTATATTTTGTCAAATGGTGTTTTCATCAAACCACGAAAAGTTAAAAACTTTTAGCAGGGGAGCAGATTTCTAAAAGTTAAACTTAGGGGAGCAGATTTCGCCACCGAGTTGAATCAAGCGCATTCCAAGGGGTCGGGAGGATGACATCGTCCTCCTGATGAATACGTTGCTGGGAGATGAGCTGAGGCACACGCTTCCGCGGAATGCATCGAGCGGAGGGACTTTGCCGGGGTCTCCATCCCTAGTGGGTCAAAAGTTGTGGCACCTTACATCTTTGCCTCACTTCCTGGGTTCCTGGAACTTAAACCTTTTTGGGAAGACCATTTTAGTTGTAAACAAGCAGTTTCGATTTTATTTGGGCCATCTTCTCAAGAAGTGAGGTGCCCTTGACTAAATGAACAAACGTATTTAAACTGTTGAACGTTGACCAAGTTAACCGGGTCTATTTAAGCGACATCCTCCAAAAGTATTGTGTTTTTGTGTTTGTTTGTTTTTTTGGGGGGGGAGGTTTCAATGGGTACCCCCCAAAGTCATTTGGAGACCCACAGTGTAGGCAGGGAATCCAAGTCCCGAAATCTGGATTGCCATGTCACCCATGATGAAGTTGTCTTTCATATGGATCTGCCTGTTTTGTAGCGAGCTCACATGGGGGTATAACGAGCCCACCATTAAATCAGCTGGCACGGTGCATTTTTGGTGGTCTCAATGAAGCCTTCCAGGTACCCTGACCTACTCCAGACCTGTATAAGGGCGCAACTTGCTGTCTGAACTTGCAAAATGGCGTGGGGGTGCAGACGGATTCTGGCAGGGGCGCAGCAAACTCGAATCGGGGTGTGGGGGTGCCAGTGAACCAAATCTCATCATTATGGGACGCCGCGCGCAGGGAGTTGACCCCACAATGCGTATGGGTGTCTTTTTTTTGGGGGGGGACCCCGCAAAAAAATAATAATTGCGGTTTTCCTGCTGGTTTTCCTTTAAAAGCACCAACAAACCAAGGGGTACCCGCAAAAAAGACGAGCCACCCATATATGCCTCTGTGCCCACGGAGTTGGCCGAAACTCTGAGCCGCACACGTCCATCTGTTGCACGGTGAGTTCAGCCTTTGCTTCTATGTTTTATGCTTGGCGAAACTGAGACACCTGTGTTGTTTCGCTTGTTGCTTTCGGTTTGTGGTGCCAAAATGAGTGTGGGTTTGGCTCAGTCAATGGAGAACGACCTTGTTCAGTCCAACCCCTTGGGATGGGAGAGGGCTTACATTGGGGCGGGGCTTGGCTTCAAGTGGCTCTCAGTTTCCGGGGTTCTCCGATCACGTTTTTTGAGCCATCCGCTCCTGGCTTTGTGTTGGCTGGACATATGAACCAGACTCAGAAAGTCGCCTTCCACAGGTGCGATTTTTTCTTGACACGGCGCCGGGTGGTTGGGATGCATTTGTGTAAAGGCATCATCTTTGGCTGATCAGCATCTACATTATTGTAACTTCGGGGGGGGTGCAACAAGGTCAGATTCTTTGTCTTCAGGGTGTCAGTGTCAGTCACTGTGGCTGGTGCCCTTCGATGAATCTACCGAGCGTCTGTGAAATGGATGGCAAGGTCAGCGGAACTAAAAGATCTCATTCTTTAGCAATACATGCTTATGTCATTTCTATGGAGCACAAAGCGGGGGGGGGGGCGGAGAAAAAAAAAAAAACACTCCGGCCACCGCCCTGGCCAACAAACGCACCGATTCCTATATATTCAGAACCCTCCCACGCGGGCGCCGCGGCTCGATCGCGCGAAGGTTCCAACGCCTCAGCGCGAAGAAGCTCGAGATGTCGTGGCGGGGATTCGGATGTTCTGGGTCCAGCGATATGGGTTTGGGGTGGCTCATGTTTGGTGGTCTTGAAGGGAAACCTAAAGGAGAACTTTACATTTTTGGGGAACTTGGCCGAACTTCCAAGCAGGGTCCACCAAAGTGATATGAGCCAGGGACACTTACTTCTCTGGGGTGTATTCATCCCGCGTCGCGTTTCAGGTTTCCTCAGATCCTCAAAATGGCCCGGGCTCAAAGAAGTGGAACCCACCACCAAAAGTAAGTCAGAAGCCCTCATTTGGCAAGTCCCATGGGTTTGTTTCAAGATTGGTTGGCTGACAGGGAACAAGCAAACGTAACATTAAAACGAAAAGCCCAGATCCCATTTGGAGGTCCGAACCCATGTTGACATGCACCTGATGGGAAGTCCAGCATTGATCGAGCTACCACCTTTGGATTGAACACTTCGAATGCGAGTTCTCAGACTTTTGCACCTGCACCTCGAAAAACAACCAACACAGGTGACCCCCAAAAGTGAGCAGATCTGGTCTCCTGAAGCCATCCAGTTCAAGAGCCTTGCGACCGTGGTGTTCTTTACACCTTGTTTTTTATGGATCCCTTCTTAAAGATGGACAATCAACAGAAACAAAGGCGATGGGATTGGCTCGATTTTCGGAATTCCCTGTTCAGGTTGGTTTAAGGGGACCTATTTTCTTCCCCTAACCGCAAGCTATGCAGTCGATAGGTCCGGGAAGGCTCTGGGCGGTTATGACCTCAGCTTATATGCTCAGAGGGGAAGGGGAAAACCTCCAGTTGGTTTTGTTTGGGGGGTCCCATTTTTCGACGAGGTTTCCCTATTTTGACAATACCATTTACTCAAGTAGCAGCAGGCATTCTGCCCGTCCAACGTTTGGAACCTGCGAGGCTTGCCGTTGGAACGGGTCTCCTTGTTTTAGGCGCATTGGCGTGGCTTTGGCTTGGATGCTTGAAGCCGGTATGAGCTTGTAACACAATATGCCCCTCCGGCAAGCCCTTTGGTGGGAGTTGAATCCCTGGTTCTTGTAGAGGCTAAATGGGACACCGCCTGCACCTCCAAACCACCGATTCGGCTCCGAGGGAAGAGAATACATTCCAGCTCCAGGCCCAGGGGCGCAAGGGAAACTCGTAGGTTTTTTCGCTTACCTTCCACTTGCTGAAATGAATATTTGTTTAATCTCCCCTTGTTGGTTTTGAAGGGAACCTACCACTACAGCCAAGTTGCTGCTTTTCAGTCACTGTTGCTGGTTGTTGGGGTAAAGTGCATGGGGAAAAAAGGAAAAAAAAGCAGCAACTGGCGATCCAGGTATGTTCTCATTTTTTCAAGAATGCAAATGGAGGTATCCTCCATACTTTGAATTTTTCGAAGGTCCCTTGATTTTCCCTTTCCGACTCCAACAGAAGCTCATCTCGTCCCGAATTAAAGAGCCCTTGGATGAATCCAAGCGATTTCTGCCTCAGCAACTTATCACCCCCTCAGCGCAGAAAATGTTTTTTTCGAACTTGTTTCCGGTTTCCAAGAGACAGATGTCAAATTCCTCCGTCAGGTCGGTGAGGCGAAGTTAGCACCTGGCGGAAATCTGTGCACGGGCGCTGTGCGCTCAGCGCTTGCCGCCCAGACCCTCCGCTAAAGTGCGAAGACTTGCTAGGCGTATTTGTCACACGGCCGTGACGCTCGTCAGCTTTGCTTCCAGGCAACTGGGGTGAAAACATTGGCCCAACAAGGTTCAAACTGAGAATCCAGCAATTCTAGCCGTCGGCTTTGGGGTTCGCAGCACGGAGTGCTTTGCATTATGGCTTAAGGACATGGAAGTCGATTTCTGGGGAGCCACGCTTTCCATGATTCCAAGGCATCCCTGGGAGTGGCAAACATGGTCTCAGAGATTGCCCATTTTGGCTTTACAGAAAGGCTTCTTTTCCGCAAACATGCTTTGCATCGAGCTGGGCAAAATGAGACGGTGAGCCCTGAAAAACATCATGATGGACAGAGCCCTTTCTTGCGAGTGTCTTATCATGGCCAGACTTTTGCCTCGCCTTTCTCTTGTGGGTGTTCTTTTTTCTTGCCCGCAAAAAGTTGACTTTGCGGGGGAGGGGGAGGGCCAAAGTCCGGCCATGTTGTTTCAGGCTGATCCATGTCTAAGTTTGTTTGGAACATCCTTTGGCGCTGCTCGCGTGTCACGAGACAGGGTGCATGTTGAAGCATCAACCGAACGGCCAATGAGTTTGAACTTCCTACGGGGTTACAAGCTGCTTTTGTAGCTGACGGGCGGCGGCGGAAAAACGGTTCGGCCCGAGTGTTTGCCAGCCAGAATGTGCGAGCATGCGTGAGGTTCCGAGGCGGTGGCACGAGTTGAGACAAAATCGGATCCCTTCTGCAAACCCCTTCCCGCGACTGGACGCTAAGACACCCTGGCCTGGCCTTGGCAAGAACTACTGGGGCATGGCCTTCTGCCAAAAACACCTCGTGTGCCACGTCGCGGGCATAAGAGGAATCGGGTAATTGCCCACTACTTTGCGGTTCGACCTCCTTTTCCCACCCAAGTCTTTTTGAGAACCCCAAGGTGCTGTTCCAAAAGCCGCCGCTTTACTTCTGACTTTTCAGCTGAAAAGCCGACCAAGCAAACCGGTTGCTGCACCCTACCAGCGATCGCCAGGCCGCACGGCCTGAGGACGTGTGCCAGGCAGATGGGTCGACAGAGCCACAATGCTTCCCCAGAATTGGCTCCCCTTTTTGCTTTTTTGCTTTTTTGGGGTTCCCTTTGTTTTCCACTCACCAGGCAAAATAATATATTTTTTGCTGGGGTCCTAATTCCAGCCTAGAATGGAAATCCAAGTAAGTGAAGGGACAATCCCGAACAGGCGGAGACCCGCCCTCTCGATTCTTTACCAGTTTGGGTGGACGATTTTAGTACTATTCAGGTTTTGAAAAGACGGCGCATCACCGGAACTGGATCCGAGGAACTGGCCTGCCAGGCCCAAAGCCTCCTTTTGACATAGTGGGTGGGTGGCTGGCTGGGTGGGTGGGTGGGGAAGTGGGTGGGTGGGGAAGCCATGATGAGATTCCGAGTGAGCGCGTGCAAAGCCCTACAGCAAACCGGATTTGAAAAATATGTTTTGCACCCCGAGCTTTCGTAGCACTTGTAAAGTGCAATTGGCCGACTTCCACTCAGTTTCGGTCGTTCCCCTTTTTGGGCGCTAACATCGTCCTTTGGGCCTATGATCGAGTTTCTCCGGGTCTTTGATCGAGTTTTTTTTCGGGGTCTTTAGGGACACATCCAAGGAATCCTTTTCCAGCTCAATTTCCGGCATATGAACCAGGTGCATTTGAGAGAGGTCAGGCTCGGGCCCCCAGAAACGGGTATGCGTCAAAATAGAGGCACGGTTGTCTTTTTGGTTCCCCCCTTTAAAGCAGCCTGACGAGGGTACCCTCAAAAAGGGACACTCAAATGCCCATTGCCACGGATCGAACCCCGAAGGAGCTGTTACGCCCAATGTTGGGATAATTATTTGACCGAACCCAGGTGAAGAAGCCCCCGCTTGAGTAACAAGGGCGAGGATTCAGACCACTCTTTCAAGGGAGGGGCTTTGCCCCCAGCCCCCGACAAGTATGAACAGAAAGGTTCAAAAGATCCGGGGTCAGGAAGCTGAAAACCGCACCCCGCAGGGCGCTCTGGGGAACTGCTGGTTCGCAGGCGCGCTGAGCGCCTGGAACCCCAGGTAAAGCTGCCTTGACTCGTCTTGTCTTGAGGCTTGGCTCCTGTTTTTGGTTGGTTTTCAAGTGGGAACCAAAGGGACAACCACCAAATTTCGGGCAAAAGACACGCCCACGTGATTTTCAAGGGTTCGGATCCTGCGAAATCTGGTAAACACTTTTTTGGGCTGGAATGTGTTCTGGATTCCTGTCATGGCCTTCTCCTTTTGTTCCATGAACCAACCAAAACTTGTTGTCCTCTTTGTTTTCCCTGCTGGGTTGGCCTTCAAAATCAAAAACGGCTGGTTAAGGGCGACATGGGTGGTTTGCTTCTTTTTGGTTCCTTTAGTTTGTTTGACAAACCCGTGGCCAAATTTCGGCCATTCCTTTGGGGTGGGGAAATGTGAAAGGGGGACGTGTAGCGAGGCCTTGTAATTCGCCGCGTGCAACCCAACATAATCCCAAGAACTGGTTTCGACCCTGCTTTCTGAACGGTGCTGCGAGTTCGGATGTCGCGTCAACAGCTTGTAGCTTTCAACCCGTTGGTCTGCCGAAGATGTGGGCGTGCTGGCGCTCAAAGCGCGCCATCACCGACTTGGACGACGCGAAGACGGTGAACGAGGCCATGCGAATCGGTTGAAGCTTAGGCTGTGGTTGTTTTCTTATTTGGACATGCTTGGGCAAAAATTATGCCCTAGGAGTTTGTTTAGCCCCATGCTGCCTTCATAAGGCCTTGTTTGGCAGCAGTTTGCAGTTTTGCAACTCGGTTTCCTCGGCGGTTGGAAGGACACTTAGAGAATGGATCCACGTGATCGGGTCACGGAGAGAGGGGTTATATTCACAAATCCAGAACCTCCCTGAGTGGTTGAGTTTTTTGGCTTGATTTGAACCCCTTCTAGAGGTACCTGCCCCAGTCTTTCCAGCGATCCTTCTTTCCAAACCTCTTGCAACCCGGGGAAACAGCTGGTCTTTGCAAAGAACAAGTGTAAAAGGATGGAAACGGAATTCACCCCTGGAAGTGAGTATTGGGGCCACGGTTGCCCCGCAACGGGGAGATTCCAGCAAGCGCCAAGGTCGTGGCGCAACTGCCCGGGGCTCAGTTGAATGCCGCGATTGGGTCGATCAGGTCTTCGCCAGGTCGGAGGCCGCGTTCAACAAATCAATTTTCCTTACAAGCTGTGCATTAAAAAAATCGCCCTCCCATGACCAAGTTGCAGTTGAGTGTCTGACTTCACACCTCTCTCTCTCCCTGGAGCCTCCACCTTGCAGCTAAGTTGGGGGGGGCTGCAACTCCAGCCAGTGATTCGGATCCCCCTCTTAAGGGGGGACCCCTTTATCAGGCAAGGCCGAGAAGAACCATCTTCTATGGTTTCCTTTAAGGGAACCCCTGGGTTCATTCCCATCACCCTGGGTCACCTCGGTGACCTCCTGCTGCGCACCAGCAAGACAAAGGGGTGGTTTCCCCTTGGATTTCCTTTAGCCAGTTCACAAAGGAGTACCCTCAATGACAAACCACCCATACAACCATAAGGAGACTTATCAAAAAAACAGGGTTCCCCTTCTTGGTATTTGCCAACGGTTGGAAGGCCAAGAACCCCGATGTATACCTACTTGGGTGTTCTGCCAAGCTAGTAAGTGGTTGATATCCCAGATCAGGACTAGGCAGCCGAAAAATACAAACCACTTAACTTGGCGAATCGAGCATCCAAGTACCTCACTTCCTGAGCGAATGCAACAAAAGTCCAAACCTTTTGCATGCCACTAAACCAGGGTTGTGGGATCAAGGTTGTTTTTTCCTGACTTCTGTGATGCAAGGGAATCCCCCTTTATATGAACACAATAGTCTTTAGGAAGCCCTTTCCGTTGTATCACAGTGGATTCCATTCCCCCTCGCCCTGCACTAAAATGTTCCAAAGTCCGGGAACTCAAGTGAGGCCCCGGGCCTATTTCTTTGCCACGTGGGACCTGGTGCGTTCCATAGAAACCCCCGTGTGCTGGCAAAAGCCGGTTCCCTTTAAAAGAACGGGCAAGGAACTACCCCGCGGCCCAGTTAGTAAGTGGCCGGTATGCTAGGTTATGGCCTATTTACGGCTAACTGCACTTGGGGGACTAAGTAGGTTATAACTCCAGCTCAATAACCATTTACTAACTTGGCCAAACATCCAAGTAGGAGTGTGGCACAAACTTTGCATTGTTTTTTTTTTTAGGAATGAAACCTGTCTTGAACAGCACGTTCACTAGCCTGGCGCGTTCCGCTAGCAGGTTCTTTTCGTTTGTGTTTGGTGATAGTTTTCTGTGCTTATCATGTATTTTTGCTACGCGCTTGTCTGGTGTCTCAACGCACGGAGGAAAAATCTGCAGTGCTCGGATTGTTCTCAGTGCGTTTCCAATGCTTGAACGTGTTGCATCGGTCTTGGGGGGCCTCTGAGTTGGTTTCATCCCGCACTCAGGAGGTGGTGTGTGGAAGGACTCGTTCCCCGTATGCATACACATGTGCCTTTTGTGCACAGGAAATGATAGGAAGGGTCCTCGTGTGGTTGCCAGTTTCCGGTATTGAGATTTCTTTTTTGTTGTTCCCGAAACCAGGCTTGTTTCTTGTGGCGGTGTCCACTTTGGCCAGCTTTCCGTGGTGGGGCAGAGACGAACCACTTTTTCTGATTTCATGGCGACACGCGAGGGCAAAAACCAGATCACCATGTAGGTTCGTAGCATCGGAACGCCGGCCGGCGGCCAACATGCTCCTCGGGTTTCTCCCAAAGCCCGATTTCGTCAGGCCCGAGCTCATCGACGAGATTTGCGTCACCAAGGCGTTGGATTTTGTCAAAGCAAGCTGGGTGACCAACAAGCACCAATTGTCGCAGGTCTAAACCAGCTCATCCGCCAGAGAAATACACCACTTTGGTCACTTGGTTTGGACCATGTGTGACTCATTGCCCGCATGTCTTGGGCTTCATACTCCGTCGGCAGTCCACTGCAGTGGCATTCAAAAGTGAACACAGGTCACACAGAAAGCGCGTTGATGTGCTTACGCA